ACCTAAGCACTGTTTCAGCTGCATATCCATTTATATTTTTTTATGCATAATTTGTGTCCAGGGAAATATACTTATTCATGCTCTTGAGCTGGAAATAGGAGATATAGGAAATATTTTTTTTTGTCCAGCGTACAGTGCTACTCCTCTGATAGTTCCTCATTTAATTTTGATTTGTATGTTCTTGTTTTTAAAACCATGTGTCTTCATTGCCCTTGATTTAAAATAAACAAATAAATAAATAATTTTCCAAACATGTTGCTTATCCTTAGCAAAAGACTATGCTGTCACAAAGCTTTTGTGGGGAGCAACTCATAAATTGAACTGGGTTCTGTGGGAACAGCAGTTAAGCATTTATCACATTTAATTTGATTAATAAATGTAAAATATGAAAATACGTTCTTGTGGCTGCTTGAAAGATATTTCCTTTTTCATTCTGAAATGAGATTCAGAGAAGAGTATAAAACTTGAGAAATAAACTCTTTCTCAGATCCTTGATTTTGAGAAATCAGGGCCTGAGGGATGACCGTATATTTCAGTAGTGTCAGTCCTAGAAGTATAATTAGCAAATAGTTATTTGCCTGTAACTCTGCTTCTGGATTTCTGAAAGCTCAGATGTTTCTTGGGTACCAATTCTAAGGGAGTGGGGTTGTGGAGTGTTTTTTACTCTTTAACACTTGCATGTGTTTGGCAGCTCTGCAAGGAATTGCTTGGAGAGTGGAAGGAAAAAGAAAATTAAACCTTTTTGACTGATCAGGCTTCTTTCACCTAGCTTGCAATATTATATATTTAAATACATACTTTGATTTGAAGAGCAGAGGCAGAACTAGAGCACGTGTGGTTTTGTAGCTTGTACTTGAATAGCAGTGTCTCTCAGCAGCTTTGAATTGACTGTTTTGAGGGTTTGGGTTCACTTACGTTTTACTTGAGAATCCTTCATGCATCTTAGATCAGACACTACAGTCACATGGCTGATGTGCGACCTACGCCATAAAAAATTCTGTGAAAATAAATTCAGATTGAGATCTTGAGGTGGGGAAAATCTGTGGACTTAGAAGTGCTACCAGATTTGCATTTCAGTCTGCCACATGTAGTCTGCCTTTTTTCTGAAGATCACCACCAAAGCTTCTTGCATCTGAGGACACCAGGTGACTGTTGTGTTGGTTCCAGCTCACCAAGCCAGCAGTGAATGAGGACCTGTTATGCTAGGTTCTGTGCGAACACAGCATGAAATAAAATAGACCTTCCTTCAGTTTTATTGCAATTTCTTGTCAGCATAACGGTCACAGGGCACGAGTGGCACAGCGCAGATGTTGAATGTGTTAGTCCTAATATGCCTTCTACTTTGATGAGTACCAAGGTAGGCAGCTGCTTAAGAAAAATGTTTGAAGTGTTTCTTAACTTTTCAGTGGTGATTGTGAATAGATTCTAAAGCTTTAGGATGTTCATATGACAAGAGAGTTTAGCTTGTTTCTTATTTATGGAGTTCCATATGTGTGACTGTAGCACTTCCTGACGCATATGAAAAGAGGCTTCCTGCCCAGGAGGGACTGTCACCTTTCTTGACCTCTTCTTTTTTTAATATGAGCTCATCTCCTCTTGTGCCCTGGATTTAAACAAGAAGCAGCGTGCTTGATCAGGCAGTGCCTGGCTGATGAGCTCTCCTGCAAAATGTCTGGAGTAAATCTACCTGAGTCATATCTCACAATTAAAGTCACATAGCACAGTACATGCAAATGAGGCTTGTCTTTGCTGCTGCTTTGCCTGCTGTGCAGGAATATGAGCCTGTTTTTTTTTTTTTGTGAAGTATATAATTGCTTCCATAGGATTCTCTCCTCGTCCTCTTATTTTCATGCTCTTGCTATAACTAGTGGCTGTACCCTTGGTGAGGCTGTAGTTGCTGCTACGGTCATCACAGTGTTGGCTCTGGAGCAGGGCAAAACAGCCCTGTGGCTGGGACTGGCATTGGGTGAAAACGACTGCTTGGCATCACTTGCCTTTAATGGAGCTGGTAGTGAAGGCAAAGGTTCTTCTTGAGGTTTAATGATAAACTGGCCTCTCATTTATTCCTGGGGAGGGTCTTCATTAATTTCAGCAGGAGAAAGCTGGAGAGTGTGGAACTACTTAATTCTTATCAGTTTGCAAACACCATGTAGTGCATGGTGGGAGATGGTGAACTTTTCTGCGCAGCGGATAACCTCCCAGTATTGCTGCAGCTGCCTTAGATGTGCAGGCAGGGTGTTGCTGTCCAACTTGATGCATTCAGCTTGGACCTTTTGGGTTTTATAACCAGGAAAGGCTGCAACATTAATCTTAATTAAAGGGAGATGATGATTTATTCGGCAGGGCTGACTGGTACGCTTGTGTGCACAATGCCTTTCCCAGTGGGTTTTGGTCTAAACCATAGGATCAGAGAGAGCTGCTGTAGTGAAACTGCAGGAAAATGAGTAACATGTTTTGATTTGATACCTGGGGAGGAATTGGGCAAAGTAGCAGTGGATATATGCAATGTGACACCAGTGCAGTGAGTTTTCTGTTAGTGGCAACACCAAGAAGGCAGTAGTTAAAGCTATCACTGTTTCCAGAATCAAAATCTTATTTCCCAGAACCCAATTTTATAGCTCTACCATTATAAGGAGAGGAAAAAAAAAAAAAAAAACAAAACAAAAAAACACAAAAGAGAAAAAGAAAATTCACTGAAATTGGCTAAACAGCTTTTCCATCTGGAAAAGACATGAAATACATGTACTTCTGAACTATCAGTAAAACTGTACAGATATTTTAAGCAAAGTTCATAATACCATTTGGTGTCACATTGAAAGTGGCCTTTGTGGCTTTTTTAGTCCAATTATTTCTTTTTGGCAGTGAGTTCATAGACAGAATATCCTTAATTGAGTCCAGCTTTCTAAACCAAAGCAGCAACCTGTAGTTTCACTTTTTCCCCTCTGTGTTCAGCCTTAGTGTCAGTATAGCTTAATTTTAGTCTTCTGTAACTCAAGGCATAAATAAAACTTTAAAACACTTGGATAGTTACAGAAAATTGAGGTGAATGGAAAAGTTTTTTTTTTTTTAATGCTTAGAATTAAAGAGATCTGTACAAAAATCAATGTTAGATTAACCCCTCCTCTACAGCCTCTGATTGTGATGAGTTTTGAGGAGGAATTTGCATGTCTGTCACCTCACTTAGCACAACTGTATTTCTTTACTTTGATTGGCAACACCATGTATTTATCTTGGAAAATACAGACATGATTCACATACATCAGTCTGAAGTAGGAAGGCTGAGCACTGGGCATCTGGATTTAGAAGAATGTAAGTCTCTATCAAATTAAAGCATCAAGGACATTTATGCTGAAGGTAGGGACTGACTTCCAAATGTGCTTTTTTCCATCTCAGACCATCTGGTCAGCAGGGCTTGATAGTGGGAATCCTACCTGCGGAATGGGGTAACGTGTTTGCTCTAAGCATGTGTGGCCTGTCATGCTTTTATATTTTGTTATAGGTGTATCTTCTAGTAACTTTAAATTCCCAAAGATGCCTGGGGTTGTTTTGAGGATGTCCCTCATTTCAGCTCAGCTTCTTCCTCTCTACCTTGTGCATCCCAAAACTACCCCTCCCCTGTCCACATGTGAAAACTTCTGGCACTTACGTAGCATGTTTCATAGGTACAAGTTTTGTTTCTGTGCCTCAGTGACATAGTGTTTGCAAATAGCTGAATTTAGTAATGAAGAGTAGTGACTGCGGCTGCGTGTTCTGACTTTGATTGGCTTAGTGCCTTGTTTTGAATGCTACAATCTGTAATACAGAGGATGCAGGAACAACAGCCTCTTACTACTTCACATCCACCCTGGACACATTTTCCAGCCCAGTTGGAGTGAGACATGATCAAAATTACTTCTGTAATTAAGAAAATGTTGAACCTCTTGTGTGTGTTAGGCTAATGAGTTGAAGCTTTTAGCCAAGCAATTAAGTGTTAAGGTTTTACTGTAAGGTGAATGTAAACTAGATAATTTCTTCAGCTAAGCTTCCCATAATCATTCCATTAGTATGAATTCAGTACAGTGCAGAAGGGAGGCAGCATAGCTTGATGGATAAAATTATTATTATTATTGAAGATTATTGCAGTACAAATGAGCAGTAGAGGCCTCAGACAAGGCTATGGTCATATTTTGATAGGAGTTTTAGTTTAGGATAGGATAAAAGACACTCTGCTCTGGAGTGATCATGATTTAAATAGACGAAAAGATGCAAGAAAAAAAAATACTTTATTTGCATAGATACATAACTGAGATGCAGAGAGATTAAATGCCATGCCTTCCATGTGGCCAGTGGAAGCCAAACTTGATCTTGTGGGAAAGGCACTGGTGTGTGTGTGTGAGGTATGATATGGCCAGTGGGAAACAGAAGCCCTGATGCACTATGGAAGGGTAGGTGGGAGAAAGTTGTGTTTAGTGCTGTGATGTGGGTGCTGGATTACTTGCAAATTGTGGTTTCATTTCCTTCATCTGCTCTGTGTCAGTGTGGGTTAGTTATTTTGACTTTATGGCTTTCACAGTCTTCGGTGGGATGTCAAAGTACTTGATTGAGTTTGCACTGTATTCTGAGATCTAGGGACAAGAGTGCTCTCAAAGTGGCAATTTGCTGCTTCTCCTGTTACAGTATATTAAATTCACATAAGGATTTTTATCTGATTCTCTGACTAGGGAACAAACTTCTAAAGGGGGTGGCTTCTTAACTAAAACCATGTTTCTTGATGCTGTGTTTATCTCATCTTTCTACTTAAGGATTTTTCCTGGGAGTGGTATTGGTCTAGTTTCAATGTCATGTGTATGGCTTTTTTTTTTTTTTGCTTTTGCTGATCAAATTGATAAGATAGTTTATTTAAGGCAGTGTGTCTCCAGTTTATGGAAAAGGTCAAGGTAATTTCAAAAGCAGTTTGTTTTTGTATTTTGTTTCTCAGCATGGAAGCTGTTAATAATGTTTCTGGTTTTGTGTTTCTTTAGGCATTCTTGCCGATGTTTGTGTACTCGTTGAAGGTGTCTCCACTCATAGAAAAAATAAGTGATCACAAGGATTTTAAGAAGCTTCTCAGGACACGGAATAACATACTAGTGCTGTATTCCAAATCTGGTAAGTCCTTTGTTTTTTTTGATGTGACAGTTCTTTGTGCCTGGCAAGGTGTGTGTGTTTGAACATCTGTGTGCATGTTCGGTTACCTGTGTACATGTTCAGATGTCTAAAGCTCTTTGCCCTCCGTTGCTCTCCATTCAGTGTTGCCTTATGTGACTGCACGGTGCTTCTACATGACTACAAGGGCTTCTTCAGGACTGGTGTTCTTTGTTCTAACTCAGAGGCTCCTGATGTTTCAAGATTGGAGTCATCTTAATTTGGTATTCTAATTTCTCTGTTACATTGGCAAAAATGTACTTTTTTCTGGCTTTGTCTCCAAAATTGGCTGCTCATAATAGCTATCAGCCAGAGTTTTCTGGTGTGTTTATCACAGTAGTTTGCAGGTTTTGATTTCCTGGTGATACTGAAAGGCTTAATGAACAGTTATACTACTGAAATCAATCCATCTTTGCTTCAGACAGCTTTGAGTGTCCCATGGTTGTCTTTCAAATTTTTAATTAAAAAAATATAAAATTAAAAATGGGCTGTCTTGTGTAAGAGGGAGAAATGGCTCATTTCATCTCATGCCACCTGTCCCCTTGAATCTCTTTGCTGTCTTCTCTCTCATTCAGGTCCTCCTTTCTGACTGTTCACTCTTGCTCTTACCTGTTTGTTTGCTCTTCCTTTTGCTCTGTTCTGCTCCTGCTCTACCTTTTCTCCTTTGCTTTTTTTGTTCTAGTGCGTTTTGTGCGATGCCGTGTAAAGTGAGGAAACAATCTTTATGCGCCATACGCAAGTGTGGAATGTTGTTATGGATGTGGAAGTCATTGGACAGCAAGAAATAAAATGTCTTACTGAGATGGTTTTCCTTAGTGCTGTATTGTTTTTGTTGCTTCCTTTTCCTTCCTGCAGGCAAGCAATACAAGATAATGCTTTGTTTGGGGGTTGGGTCCTCCCTTTCTGACCCATGTCAAAGGTCTTATCTCAAACATAATTATGTCGGTGGAGTAGCTCTGGGTTTATAGTGTGGCAAATTGGAGTAGTATGTGGTGACTCAATATCCCTCCCTCTTCCCCTAGTATCAGAATTTTGCAGACTAAAATGTGAAAGTGCTGGGGTAGTTAACTTTGTTTCCTAAAGATACGCTTATTCTGAAACAGTTAAAATATCATCTGACTTAATTTTTGTTAAAATATTTGCGTTTTGCTATAGTGGGGAACTTTGAGTGCTCGAATTTGGCCAAATGGTTTTGTAGTAACAGGTTCAAAGTGAAAATCATGAAAGAGTTTCTAACACTTTTTGATTTTGAAAGGAACACTTTAGATAAAAAAGGCATCTGTATTATTCAGCTTTTTAAAGGGAAAATTTTCTTTTTACGCTTAATATTTTAAGTGATGGTTGCTTTCATTTTTAGAAGCACAACCAGAACACTTCAGCTCTGACACTCATCAAATAAATGTTGCCCTATGGGCATTGTTCAAAAGCAGTGTTGTGGAGATTTCTTTTTGTTTTTGTTATTTAATTGGTTGGTTTTAGCAGTCTAAAGCATTGCATGCAGAGCTGACTGTGGGATTAATGTTTCTTCCTAGAACAGTGATCCTTGCACAATTAGAAGTCTCTTTCATAACTGTTACCCAGAAAGAGGAGAGGGGAAAAACGAGATAGGAATTTGGAGGTGCAATTCTAATCCCAGACATACATCCCCCATCTATGATGAGATGTTGGCCAGCATCTGATCATACTGCTTCTCAGCTGAGCAAAACTAGATGAGTATTTCTATCTCATGCAGAAAATTAACTGGTTTCAGAGGATGTCCTCATTTACAGGAGACATTTAGTTCACCCTGCTAGCTGGGTATCCTGCCAGGGCTGCTCAACTAGTGAGTCTTCTGGGACAAATCTGTCCTATCCTGAATGCTTATTTTCTAAGGGCTGTTTGTCAGACTGTTCCAGTCTTAAGTACATATGAAGAATTCCCCCATGTGTCTACGCCTCTGTTGGAGAGGTGGCAGTTGCATGTTATCAGTATTGGGGGTAGAAGGGTTTCTTGAGAGCTAGCATGTGTGGGCTGGTGTCTCTGATAGCATCAGGCTCAAGCAAAGGCTGTTGAATACAAAGAAGGTGTTTCTGGCTCAGGAGATTGAGATAAAAACTGTGGAGGTTTAGAGGTATTTGAGGGGGCTATCACTGCCTTCTGGCTCTACTTGTCTGCTCTGACCTATATAGGCCCTCACTTTTTCAGATGTTGGAGACAAGATATTGGTCTACAGAAGCATTTGGTCAGACCCAATATATCCGTTCTTATATTCAATTAGTTGAAGTAATTGTGGAGCAGCAGCGGTTTGAATAGATCTGGAGGAGGCTCTGGGTTTCTATTTTCTGTTTATTGAGGCAGAAAACAATGTTAAGGTTTTTTGGGGGAATTGATACTTGTTTGAACCTCTATATTTTTCTCTCCTGAACTCTTATCCCATTTTTCTTCTCTGTTTATTTTTAATACTATTTATAAGATTTTTTTGGAATTGGAGTGTCTTGCAGAATCTATGCATGTGGCATGGCATTAAAAAAATCTCAGCTGGGTATTTATAATACAGCCAGTTCTTGGAAGGACCTTTTCTGGGTGCTTTCAGCTAATAGTTTTGAGCTCCTCACAACTGTTGGTTTGGGTATCTCTCAGGGTTATAATGAAAATAACAGTTATTTTCTGTGTATGACAGGGATGGAATTGAGGCAGGCAAAGATACTGAATGGCTTGCCCTTACGGCTGATGAAGGTCCCAAATGAAGTTGCTCCAATTAGTAGAAAGTAGTACAAACGGGTTAATAGCCAGCCCCAGGAAAAAGTCTGTGTTGGGATGGAAGCCAATTTGCAGGAGAGGACACAGTGTAGCTCCATAAATGTAGGTCAGGGAGCATGCCTGGAGGTATGAATTTCAGTGAGTTGTTTAAGGGGGATGGAGGGAAGGAGCCGCCCAACTTCAGCTGTAGCCAGCATTCCTTCTGGTTTACAAAAGATTTTACTGATCCCTCTCACTGGTTTCTTCAAATTAGACGAAATGTTCTTCCAGTGTTTCAGAACAAAGGAATGCACCGTTGTGTTTTTCTACGTGCAGTAATAATGCTGTCGTTGATTTATTTCTATTTTATTTTGTTTTCCAGCTGCTGCTGCGGAAAGCTCACTCAGGTTACTGTCCAGTGTGGCCCAGGAGGTGAAAGGACGAGGTACTATAAGCTGGATAGACTGTGGGTATGTGTCATGCTGGTTTTCTCCTTTTTCTTTTTTTCCCCTCTCCTCTTTTGGCTTTTATTGTTGACTTAGCTTTTTTGATGGCTCTAAGTCTTTTTGCCTGTAACTGAACCCACATCATTCTGTGCAGCTTCTTCATAGCTGTAGGAAGTCTACATCTTGCCATTCTCTCTTCCTTTGGACCAGTGGTGGGGAATAATTTTTTTTCATTGTAGCTGTTGTCACTTCTCTGACAGCATGTTTTTCAGCCTGAAGCTGGAGACCCCAGCTAGCATCGTCTTTCATGGGGGGTATGAATCGTGGAAACTAACTGCTCTGGCTTTCCCACAAACCAGAGGAGGAGGAATCCTCACCTGAAGGGCAATGCAGTTCTGCTCCAACAGCAAGTGTTGCACAAAAAGTAGGGCTGCTTGCTTAGTTTTGAAGCATCCACCCATTTGTGTTTCTCAATAAAATGTGCTTTCATTTAAAGAATTTATTTTGCACTTGTATAGGTTTGTGTCAGTTTTTAATGTGAAGGCAGGGAAACTTGTTTTTGTAAGTGGTTGCTTGTGTGGGGAGGAATGAACAGGTGTATACTTTCTGGTTTTCAGATGTGAAAGCCTCCACTGTGGTTCTGCTCAATAACACATTGCCTGTGGTTTTAGCTTGTGTATTGTAGTGCCTCTGTAAGTCTCTACCTCTGCAGCTTTGAGAGCTTTGCCTGCAGGTGGCAAATTTCCTTTCCTGTTCTGCAGAGGAACAGCTTGCTGCCTACCTGTTTTTTTGGGTGGATTGCCATGGTATGAACAAATTATATTCTACGCACATATCTAAGTCAGCTCTGAAAATCATGTGGCTCCTTTAAAATTACACTTTTGAGACCAACCTCCATCCAGCAAACAGTGACCCAGAATAAGTCATTGGTAAAGTTAACATGATTTTGTTGTTGGCTAACCTGTCTTGCTATCCCCCTGCCACCAGGCAGGTATCTCTCCTGTGGAGTCCTCTGCTTCTGCCTTCTGTTGCATTCTGCTGGGCTAGTCCAGATGCACAGACATTTTCATCTCTGCCCAACTGTTGGGGACAGTGTTTCGGGTCATCCACTGGCAGAAAGCAGGGCTGCTCCTTGGAGGTCAGTGAAGCCTGTACCACTTCCCACCTGCTGAAAAGCCAGCAGGTATTGACCCTGATGAGGAGAAGGTTGTGTGGAGATCTGGCATACTTCAGAAATCCAGTTTTCTTTTCTAATGAAAGTACTGATAATTTTTTGTTGTAAGTAATGATGGCTAGTAAATAGGATACTGGACTAGCTTCTTGGTTTTAGTTTCTAATTTGCCCTATTTGTGACTGTGGAGAGGTCACTACCTTTTTGTGTCTTCTGTTTCCTTTTTTTTTTTTTAGGCTACCTCTGTGTTGGAGGACTTACCGCTTACCATGTGTGTGTGCATGTGACACATGTATACAACTGCTGGAATGATGAGGCTCTTCATCTGGCCCTTCAAAATGCTGCTATTATACAACTCAGCAATAACCATCTCTGGGATTTTAGTTCTGGTTTGGAGAAGGAAAGATTCAGTGTTTAGGACTTCAGTTTGAAATCCAGGGAGGTTTTGGCACTTGGTTCAGTGGGTCAGTCTCTGCTCCTGAGTTTGAGTGATGGGGAGGGAAATATGATGTTTAGTTTTACTGTAAAAAAAACTTCAATTCAACAAACCCTAATGTGCTCTCCCTTTCCAAATGTTGTTATCTAAACCAAACTTTGTAATGGAAGTTACATGCAAGAAATGTATTTTAAATAAGTCTTTTCCAGGTAGTGCTTTACTACATTTCACAAGAAGCTTGGTACTTGCAGTGCCTTTCCTCTGACCATGGTGGGGAAATATTTAAATTAAGCTTCCTATTCATAGTGAAATGTGAGTTATTCCCGGGGAGTAAAGCATCCTGGAGAAAGTCTTGCTGTAAGAGGTTGGGAGACCTGGGGATACATTTGTAGGTTCCAAAAATTGGCTTTGATGCCAGTAATATCACAGTCACATTGCCACTTGCCAAATGACAGGCAGTGGACAGGGTGCTATAACATGGCAATAGCTGTAATTCTTTCTTCAAGGATTGAGCAGTGCTTTCTTTCAGATCACTTGTTTGGGAAGAACCTGGAAAAAATAGATAACCTGTCCAACTATAACTAGGTATTTGTCAGAGATGTCTCTTCTAACCCTCCCTCCTGCAAAGGGATGTCATAACAGAGTTTGTGAACTTGCCTCATGAGGCATGGTGAGCTGGAAGACTGGCTTGTGGCAAAGAAGGTCTTGATGCGTGCAAAAAAAATCACCAGGCAAATAATTTGAGCCTGAACCAAGTTTTGTGGTTGATTTGCTTGTTAAGTCTTTAAAGCATTCTGAAATCAATCTTGTAGTATTGAGGTAACTTCTAAATGTGTGTTGGTTTTTTGGTTTTTTTTTTCCTTGAAAGATTTTTTTCCTTTGCTTATTTTTTGTTTTTGTTTTGTGTACAGGTGGCTACAAACTGCTGCCTACCTCCTTGCAGTGATAATGTGAGAGGCTGCAGTAGTGCTGTCACTGGTCACAAAGGGCCAGTTGTAGGGCCTGAACAGCTGAGTCCTACCAGAGTTGCTCAAGCTATTCTCCCACTGCAAGTATGCTGTGGAGCTTATTTGCAAGTCTTCGTGCTGAAACAAACAGAGCACAGATGCAGGGATATTTACAGCACAGGCTCAATTTGTTTTACAAATACTGACAAGAAATGGCTTGTTTGGCAGCAATATTTAGCAGGGAATTTTGGCTTTGCTCTTCACATCCTGCTGTAGTGGCCTTCTGCCTTCAGATCCAAGCATTGGCAAGGCTGGCATGCATGCAGAGTTGTAGTTTGTGTCTCTGCTTCCCTGTGGTGATGACAGCAGTCTTTCTTTTCTTTTTATTTATTGGTGGTGCTTTTTTTGTTTCTTGTCATTCTCCTTCTTCCCCTTGTTTTCAGGAGAAAGCAAGAACATGCTGCTCCACTGATGGAAATCATTATGGATTGCTGAGTCTCGGCAGTATGTTCTGTATTTCATACAGCACAGGGGACTGTGCAGGTTTGCGGCTGGAGGCCAGCTGCCTGGATTGCTGGTTTATCTGGAAGCTGTGCTCCTTGGCCTTGGCTTTTGTTGGGTCTGTGGTGTGAGACAGAGGTTAGACTTGAGCTTCTAGTTCTAAGTTGAGTGGTCTTGGGGAGAGCAGGGAGGTTAGTTTTTCAGCATAACCTGGGGAAATACTTGGTTTCTTGCCGAGATGTTTAGTGTGGAGTAGAGGAGGTCCCTCCTGTGTGTTGCAATCCTCCCAGTGATGAATTGCCCCAACATGGGCTTCCCTCAGAGTCCCGGCCTTCTTTGGGAGCAGCCACCTCCTCTGGCATGGGGTCTTCCACAGACTGCAGGCTGGCACGTGTTCTGCCATGGGCTTCAGGGGCACAGCCTGCCCTCTCACTGCGGGCCGCAGGGGAGTCTCTAGCACACCTCTCCCTGCCTCACCTTTCTTCCACTGACCTCAGTGTTTGCATAGGTGTCTTTCATGACTCCTCTTCCTCCCAAGTTCCCCTTCTTAAATATGTTATCACAGAGGTGTGGCCACCATTTCCAATTGGCTGGGCCCTGGCCAGAGGTGAATCCGACTTGGAGCTGGGGGAGCTTTGAGAAGCTTCTCACAGGGGCCACCACCGTAACCCCCTGCCCCGCTGCCAAAAATCCTACCACACAAACCCAACGCAAGGCAGGATAGCAGAGGTCCCCAGAGTGCCAGGGCTTAGGAGATGTAGCACTGGGAAGTGCCCGATACTTGCCTTTCCTGCTCAGTTAGGCTTACTTGCGTTAAGTGCTGCGCTGGAGCAGGGCCATGCTGAGCACAACGTACCCAGGGATGCCTCTGCGTGCTGTATTGCGGATAAGGCCCTCATTCATGGGAGATTTCAATCACTTTGTGAAGGCAGATAGATGCCTCTTTCTAGAGATGAAGGGGGCAGCATGAGAATTGCTTGCAGCATTGAAGTGGTCACTGTTTGCTTCTGTGTGCTGAGATAGCATATGTGGCACTCTACACAATTAAACAAGAAAGTGTTTCAGTTGTGAATAAAAAAAACCCCACAGATGATGTGACAAAAATATGTTTTATTTTAGCCTTTCCATGTTTTAATTAGGAAGTCTTTGCTGAGGCATTTGATGTTGAATGAATGGTGGTGTGAGACAATGGAATACTGAATTAATCATGCCTGGTAAGATGCATGGTATCAGGGCTAAAGCACAATGTTGCAAGTTGGTGAGTCTTCAGAGTGTCCCAGAGAGATGGATCAGTCATCTTACGAGCAAGTGTTTTGGGACTCATGTTTGGGGAGATGAAGTGTTAATAGGAGCTGAGAGTCCCAACTGCTGTTCCTGACTCTGTGAATGATTCACTTGTTACTTTGTGCTCTTAAAAGGTGTATGTTTTCCAGGCAACTGGGTAAATATTGCCTGATTCATTAGGCAATGTTTATAAAGAGTTTGGAGAACTTTGAAAGGAAAAATGCTACAGCAGCATGATTGAGTGTGTTCAGATGCTATTGAGATGGGCATGTAAGCAAGCAGAGAATTGGGTTATTTATTGAATTATTTTTAGTAGTAGGCTGATAGACATTTTGAATATTGAAGGGCTTCATAGGAAGTTGAAAGTTTAAAAAGTCTACAAAAACGAAAATGTTGTGTTCTTTGGTGCAATCTCAGAGTCTGGCTGTTGCTAACTGTAGCAGCAGGCTGGGGTGCGGTGGAGCTGGCCTGTGCTGTGTAGACAGACGGGCAGTCGGTGTGCGTGCTGCAGCGCCTCTGCATCCCCCCTCGTTCCCCAAGACCTCCATCTTTGGATGCGTAGTACAACTGGAGGTAAGCACTGATGTGGTCAAGTAAAAGAGGAGTTTTGTTGAAAATAGAAACTCCTGGCAAATCCCTATGGTGGCAATAAAAAGGTACAAAGCAATGTTCCTGCAAACACAAT